GAAAATATGTATCGTTCCGAAATAGACTACCGGCTGCCGTGTTTGTTATTAGACAAGCCTAGACGACGACGCTGAAGGAGACGGAAGGAGCGAGGCGTGATACCGCCGAATACGACCACGACGCGTGGCCCGCTCGCCGAAGAAAACAGCGGCGAGACAAACACGGAGGCAAGGAGCGAGGGACAGAGAGAGAGAGAGAGAGAGAGAGAAAGAGAGAGAGAGAGAGAGAGAGAGAGAGAGAGAGAGAGAGAACATCCGTTACGCGGATCGTCAATACCGATTCGCGAAAGAATTCCCGACTAATCAAAGGAGAGAGGAACGGAGGGAGAGAGGAACCACCCGAAAAAGGGAGACAAGGAAAAGAAAGAAAGAAAAGAGATCAGATTCGTGTTCCGCTCTCTACGGAGAAAAGATACTGGTGTTCCGCTCGCTATCGAGAGAATAAGTTTTGTGTCCTGACCGTTGCCGAGAAACAATATCGAAAGGGCTATCGTCAGCGAACCGGTGACCGGATAGGATAGCGAAGAGAGATTCATGCTGCGCTGGTTGCTCTGCACCGAGACACTCGAAGGGGGAGAGCGACCCGTCCGACGACCGACCAGGACCATGTCGCCGGGAGGTTCCCGAAATTGTAAGACCGTCCACTTGCAAATTTTCGGTGTTCCGTTGTCATGTCTAATTTTGTCGTGGTGCGCAGAGCAGTAGTAAACTCACGAGTAGGCGTGCGAAGAAAAATTGTACTGTCCCGCGAAAATCTCGGAGCGCGCCGGCTCCCGAAGAATAAATCGAATTTCCGTATCAATCGCACCGTTCTTTTTCTTTCTTCCCGCTTTCCCTATTTCCGGCCGAACCCTATTACGGCCCTCCCGTCTCCCGACTTAAAATCACAGCGAGCTACCGGTCCCGTCGGACTCCCGCGTTGCGGTCGCGGATTTTTTTTTTTGGTTGTTGGAGTTAGTGAGTGGTGCGGATGTCCGCATCTGGTGCCCAACATTTTTAGCGTGTGAGAGACCGTGACGCGAGGACCAGCGAAAATTTGCGGGCGTAAGGAAAATCTCGTCGCAAATTTTTGACACCTAACGTGGGGCCGCCCTTTTAACGGCTGATTATAGGATAACTAAGGTTCGCTATTCAAACGGAAAAAAAAGAGATTAAACTTGAGCAACACAGGAAGTCGGGACGAGAAAATCGTCGAATATCAAGTCGCTGCCGGTTTTTCTTTTGTGGATATATTTCTCGCGCGATTTCTCGTTTCTTTTTGTTTTTGTTTTTTTGGGGTTTTGTTCGCGCTCTGCTCCGGGCGTTGCAACTGCTCTCGTTGTTAGTGGTGTCTCGTCCTGTGTGTGTTAGTGACAGTATTATGGTTTGTGAACAGTTTTGTTATCGTTGATTATCGCTATTAAGGCTCCCGTCAAAGTTGTCGCCTCTCCACTAAATTTAATTTTTGTTCAATTATTTCTGCGTGCATATTATATCGTTTCTACGTATCTGGGAAGGATATCGGGGGAACAATGCTGGAAAACGCGGACCGTGAGGCTTGGGTATACGAGCTGTTTCTCGAACAGCTGCGAGATCAGGCGGCCGCACGCGGTCTTAACAGTACCGGGAATGCGTCGACGCTCCGCGCGCGATTGCTCCGCTACGAGCGGGCAGGGCGCCGGGACTCTCCGCCTCCGTCACCGGCGGAGGATGCGATGCGCCCGCCGCTTCCGGGCAATGACGTCGGCGGGAAACTCGAGGAAGTTCGCGGAATGAGCGATCTTCGAACAGGGGAGACCGGCTCCCGACACGTTGAAGCCATCGACCGTGCGGGTGCCGTCGCTGTTTCGGGGTGTACCGCCTCCGTCGTTCTCGCTACTGCCGGGGGAAATACCACCCCTGTACCGCAAGCGATTCCGCGGCCACCCGTGTGCCAGAGACGCGCGCGACCAACCGCGTGATGACGGCCAACGACGCTTATAACATCATGCGTCGCTGGAACATTAGTTTCTCGGAAACTCAAGGTAGCGACGTCGAGACGTTCCTCATGAGAATAGCAGAGGGACAGAAAGTCGTACCGATCGCGGACAAGGACCTTTTTAAATGCCTCCCGTTCTTTCTTACAGGTATCACGCTATAATGGTACCGTATTAAAAGATCTCACTGGGTTTCGTAGCGCGATTTTGAGGGAGCTATACGCGCGCGGATTAGTCGATACCGGTTCGGATAGAACCCCTTTTGGTGTTGAGGTATCGACTTAATCCACGAGCTGGGGATACCGATTTCGCGTTCCGATTCTTCCCGGATCCGTCTGACGGACGGGATGCTGGCCACGCTAGGCAGGTCAGTGGGCGTTGAATTAGAGTTGCAGGGACGCAAAGAAACGTTCGATATCGGCTTATTACCAACTTTCGCTATGCCGGCCATCCTCGAGATGGATTTTCTCGCGAGGTTTAAATTGATAAATTGCAAAATCTGGCTTTGTGGGGATCTCGGGAATAATATAAGGAACATGCTATAATAATTTGGCGGTAATATATAACGTCAGCTAGACAAAATACATCAATTTGTAAAATAGTATTGCACGTAAATCGCTGCGACGCTTGGCTCACTCGTCCAAAAGCCTGGAAAGCATTTTCTTGCCGAGTATCGGCCAACGAAATGCCAGAGTGAGTAAGACAAGGACAGCGCGATCAATTATCCTTGTCAAACTGACTTGACCCAACCTTCTTGCTCTTACGCTCGCGCGCACGGTGTTTGTTCGCGATCTCGCCGCACGAGGCCTCCAAAGTCAACGCTGGATTTGTCTCTTGTTCCTGTAGATTCTTAATAACTCGATAATTATTGCGAATCTCGCAAAACGGTATAGGATTTTTATGTTTGTCTTAATCTACTTTCACTAATCTACTTTCACTTCGGGTTGGCAGTTAACTACCGAACACCCTGTATAACTATTGTGTATGAAATAATTAGTATTATCATTATTATTGTTATTATTGTTGTTATTGTTACATATTGAATTTTTTTATGATTACATATGTATTCTGCTTATCAATGCTAATCATCTCTGTTATAAGGACCTTGAGGAGAACGTGTTGTGTATACGTATCGAGTGGAAAGGTATCTATGTATAACGTTACAGGTACATTGAAGTATTTCTATCTATTTTTCGCAATGTCCGTATGTTGAAAAGTAGCATTATTACATATGGTTAGATGCGGCATAAAATATCCTTTTATTTGGTAGAAACACATTTTTTAGATTATAAAAAAAATAATAAATGGTGAAGGGTACGTTTAAAAATTTAAGATTAAAAAATGAAAAGTGAAAAATGAAAAATGAGAAAAAATGAAAAGCCATTAAAATACTCTTTAAACCATTAAATTTTTATTTAGGAAGTTTTTCTATTTCTTATATTTTTAACGATATACATGTTCCGAAAAAACGTACCGATTCTTTTCAAAAAAGTGTTTCAATTGACTTAAAAAGTCAATTGAACACAAAAAATCGTGTCCCTTATTTTGATTTGGATTACAACATATTTCAAGTTCATCAAAAGCAGAGGGAGATATTTCCATATTTTTTCTTGTAAGATACATAAAAGCAGAAAATAAGTATCAAAAGGTGTGAAAAACAAATATTTATATTTTTAATGAAAAATGAAACATATATATATATAGTATATATATTTTTTTTTTTTACATATATATATATATATATGTCATACATATATATATATATGACATACTAATTTCCTCATTAGAATAGTCTTAAAGCAATGATACAACGCCTATCTTTTGTCACCATTTCATCGTCCAGAAAATTGCATTCTAGTTAGTACATAGAAGTCTTTGACTATAAATATTACTATAACATTTGCCGACGACGTTTCTTTGTTAATTATTATAATCTTTTCCTACTTTGATAAACAATAATCTAATAGACATTTTGTAATTAAATTTTATATTTATTTCGGACGTGATGAACATCTATGGCTACGTGTCCAACTTTGATTTGACAAAACATCGTATTGGCACCTGTTATTTTATTTGAAGACAAAACATCTAAACGGTATGATAGCTCTTAATGTTAAATTATTTGTTAATCAACGTTGAAAAGATTTCGAACATTATAACCGAAATTTTTGAAAATAACGCCAAAAATAATTTTTGTCAAAATAATTATTGAAAACGTTATGTTGTTTTCAACATCTGCAAATAAATGTGTCATAAATGAAACGCTTTGTAAGCACTATAAGGATATATTATATACGTAAATTATAGTAAGTCACATGAATCATAAGAATATCATCAGAGAGCATTGTCAATCTAATCATAGCTTCCCATTCGATCATCTAAGTCAAGCAAAAGAAGACTGTGACTAGTAAACGATATTGATATTGGTCACTGCTCGTAATCGAAACTACAGAGGGACAAGACGTAATCGAAACTACAGAGGGACAAGACAAAACTACAGAGGTACATGACGCATTTTAACAATTTTCGGTTGCTAGCAGTTGGAAGACAGAATAAAATGAAAAAAAAAGATTTAATATATCTTTTTGCATTACACATTAATTTTTTTACCATCTCGATAATTAAATTTGTTTAAATTCAAGCAAATTTATTAAATTTAATAAAATTCAAAGAAATTTATTAAATTTATTAAATTCAGTTTTCTTTGTGCATATTAGCAACTTTCCTTAAGATTTAACATGGCGAAAATGGCAATAAATTATCATTTCTAGCAAAAGAGTACAATAGTTTATACAATGCTATATCTCGATATTTTTCATTAATCTACAAATTTCCTGGTATTTATGGACTTAATATGGAACCAAAATTTTAATTCAGGTACAGTCTTATAATAATCAGATAAAATCTATCATTATATAATAAATGAATTTGCGGCGACGTGATTAATTATTTTTCATGAATATAATATAATGCAATATGTAATCAGTATATATGTATAGTTGTTAAAAGAATATGAAGAAAAGCAATTAGAATAATTACAATCAGTCTTGATAAACTTCTCGCCTTGTCATCCACTTTCTACGCTGTTATTTAATATACTACATAAAATGTATAAACGATTTGTATAAGTATTTGTATAAGCTCTAAGCTATGACAAGAAAGAGAAAGACGGCGAAAGAGAAATATTTATACAACCTAATATGAATGCAATTGTTCGTTAAAAAATAAACGTCAAATGTTGACGAGTAGCAAACGCAGCAAACGATGAGGAAGATGTTCGAAGCAATCACTTCAGAGACCAGCAGCGGAATCCAGCAGATCGTCGCTTATGATTGGATTTATTATCACCGTCGCTGAGTTATCGTAGTAACCGCTCGATATCAATCGTACCGATGTTACTTCGTACGGCACGAGCTCTTTTACATCTAAAATGAAAAGATAAACTCCTGACTCAATTAAATTTAGAAGTTAAATAAATTCAAATCCTTAATTCAAACTTCTGACGAAGACAAACATATATTATATATGGATACTTTAAATAAATTGTACATTATTTTACACATCGGATAATGGCTAATATATTAAGAAATTGAACTAATTCTAGTCTTATTTTGTCAATCTTTTATTTTTATCTTAAAGAAATAGTTAAATTTACATCAATCAAGATATTTGCCATCGTTAGCTGTGACTTTTTCCCAGCTCTCTGGCAACATAGAAATTCCGCGAAGATAGAACGATCTGTCTTTCGAAGCAATCATATACCATTCCAATCATATACCTATTTTTTAATATATTCGTAATTATCGAAGTGTGTACGGTCGTGGACATAAAGGTTGTCACTTTTTTTTAATAACTTTCGGGACACATCCCGATTCGAGAAGGATGAGAAGTGCTGCTCCGCCTGCGGAGCATGCCTGCGCAATGACTCACAACGAAAGGCGAGAAATGAAATATACATAGTATTCAACATTAATATGTTCAACATTAATTTCAACATAATATGTTCAACATTATTTATGTTGGAAATTATTTTCATATTTGTCTATAGCGGAAAAGAATTAAGGATAGATATTACAAGCAAAATGTAAGAATTGTTTACATACTTATGTCATACCACATATATTTCATTTCCCGCCTTTCGTTGTGAGTCACTGCGCAGGCATGCTCCGCAAGCGGAGCAACACCTCTCATCCTTCTCGAGTCGGAATGCGTCCCGAAAGTTATTAGAAAAAAAGTGACAACCTTTATGTCCCCAACCGTACCTATCAAAGCATATTATATCGATTGGAATAGATGGTAATTAGATAGTGTTTGTCTGGAGAATACGCTGGGTGTGGAGGGATTTCCTTCTCGAGCTCTAACAATCTTTGTTTAATGATTGAAGCAATATGTGGACAAGCATTATCGTACAAGAATCATTTTGCGTCTATTGCTAGCTATCATTGGTCTTTTTTGCATCAATTCATCATTCAATTTGTTCGATTGCTGTTAGTATCGCTCCCCCGTAACTATTTCATTCAGTTTTAGAAGCTCATAGTACACCACACCTTCCATACACCCATGCTCGCACAGAACATTGCTTTGTGAATGTTCCGTTTTGGTGTCGATGTTGATGGTTGTCCTGGATCAATCTATTATTTTTCCGCTTTAGATTATCAAAATAAATCCACTTTTCATTTCCAGTTATAATTCACTACAAAAAACTCACAAAAAACTCTTTTTTCTGTTTAGCAAACAAAGATATGGCAATATTCAAACGATTTGCAATAACACTTTTATTCAATTCATATAGAACCTATTTGCCTCCTTCTTTGCATTCCTTTTGAATTTTTTTATATTTTTTTGCAATTTACATTCCTTTTGAATTTTTCCCATGGCATATAGGCATTTAGAAATTGTTGATTTATCAACATTGAGTTGTTCAATCAATTGTTTTTCCGTTTGAACAATGTTTTCGTTCAAAAATGCTTGCAATTCAGAATCTACAAATTTTTTTGGTTGACCAGTACGTTTTTTATCACTCAAATCGAAATCACCAGTTTTGAATCGTTGAAACCAAAATTTATAGTTGAAATACGACGGAGTTTGATCACTATAAATTATAACAAGCATTTCATGAGCTTCAGTTGCCGATCTTTTCAAATCAACCAAAAAAAGTAATGAATGTCAAAAATGCAATTTTGTACGGCTCATTTTAGACGCGTATAAACAATTAAACTATCAGTAATAATAACGCGCAAACTATCATATGTTATAGAGAAGTGTCAAGTCTTTCAGTTGCCAGATTTGAATATTCTTAGTAACCATTAACTTGTTACTAAAGCTATCTATTGCTAAGGATCAGAACTAATTCAACCTCCTAATAAACGTTGACATTGCGAAAATAATAGAAGGACCGTGCAAATTTAAAATTATTGCTTTACTCCGCAAATTTAAAATTATTGCTTTACTTTAACTTGTTAATTCGACGTATGAAAGATTTATTACCTGGTTTGGAATCAATACCGCAAATGGAATCAAACACGTCGAGCTTTGCTGTATCCAGACCGCGACTACCTCCGATTTCCAATCGATCTCGCAGATTCTTCGTATCGCACTAAAAAGAATTATTTGTGTATAAATGTTGTATATCAATAAAGGAATTGCATCTTTTCAATGCACTACATTCAACAAACTAATAGAGAATCAATACATGAGTTTCTGAATATTAATGCGAGAGAGTCAAATTTAAATACAAATCTTATTCTCGTCTTATTTCTTAATACTTTGACTCTTTCAATAAATTTCAATTTCAGTAACTTCTATAAAAGGAATGTGCAAGAAAAAAGAAGTGCAAAAGAAAGTTATCAATTTGCTAGAGTTAATTGATATAGTGGTGCCCCATAATTTGCAACCATTATACAGGATATCCCATAATTCACTACTAGGAATTCGAGAATACATAAAGTGAATTAAGACAAGCATAAAAGTCCCCTACTGTTTTGCGACATTCACAATAATTTCACAATCACAATCATACATTCGCAATAATACATTCACAATAACTATCAAGTCATTAATTATAGAAATTTGACGAATAAGCGCGCACGCCGAAATGCTATTACAGCCATTCGGGCTATAGCGCGGCCTAGTCGATCAAGCAACAGGACACACGGCGAGATAAGACACGAATGGCGATGTGTTGTCCTTTCTCTTGCCGCGCGCTGGTAATAATTGCTGGATCGACTAAGCCGCGTTTAGCAACTGAAATGCTTTTCTAATACTACCTTGGCACGCGCTTATTCATTAGGTTTCTATAATTAATAACTCGATAACTATTGCGAATATCGCAAAACGATATGGGACTTTTATGTTTATCTTAATCCGCTCTATATTTCCATGAATTTTTCGTAATACGTTATAGGACATTCTGTATAACTTTCATGAAAATATATCATCGTTTTCTTGAGAAGAATCTCAAGACATCAATCCTTTCTGAGATATAAGTGATTGAAGCTTTTTATGAACTAATCTTCGAGTGATCAAATGAATAACACTATTATTTTTGGGTCATTTTCGAAAATTTTAACAAAATTTTAATCTGAAACAACTTCAAATATACTGTATTGAAAAAATCACTATAAAGAATGACCGTCTTCGACATTTTTGTTGGAGAAAAATTATTTAAAATTTCCATACAAAACGCTACGTAAATAATGCTTGCACAAACACAAAGATACAAGAAATTTCTTTGAGATTCTACCGCGACTGGGAGATAAAACGTAGCAGAAAGACACGAAACTGAGCCCTGAATCGCAACCGAAGAAAATATTTTACAACGTACTTTATGTAAAGTGCCGGTTTCGGTCGTGTGAGCAACGCTCTGCAAACTACTACCGCCGACTCCAAGTGCAATTATTTGTACAACGCCGGGATATACTGCCATGAGGGTGCAATTAACCTGTCTACCATAATTGCGGAGTATAAACGGATCCGTCGTACTGACTGATAAGATGTTGCAGGCTGCGAAAAAAAGAGAGCGTAAAAATCCAATTATAATATTCATATCCGTTACTAGCCGACAGCCAACCTTGAAATAGCTCAGACTTGCGTAAAAAGGAAATATTAGGTCAATCGGAAAGTTCCGTCCGTTTTCTTGCAAAATGTATGGCTTTATTTAAGAAACAAAATGAAAAAGTACATTAATTAAAGTATTGTCCATCGTTAGCGATGACTTTTTCCCATCTTTCGGTCAGCAAGCAAATTCCGTGGCGAAAGAATGACTCATCTTTGGAGGACTATCCAGTCAAAGACCCACTTTTCGACGTTTTCCTAAGAATTGAAGCATTCCTCAGCAAGTGCGTGTGCCATCGACCGAAACAAGTGGTAGTCGGAAGGGGTACAGTCTGGTAAATAAGCCGCATGGGGTAACACTTCCCAGCGAAGTGCTTCTAACGTTTCCTTGACAGATTTTGTGACGGGAGGCCGAGCGTTGTCATGAAGGAAAATCACTTTATGCTGTTTCGTTTCATATTCTAGTCGTTTTTCGTGCAATGCTCGGCTCAAACGAATCATTTGTTCTCTGTAGAGATCCCTTGTGACTGTTTGACCACTTTTCAACAGTTCATGATACAGCACACCCTTCTGATCCCACCAAATTTAGAGCATTGCCTTCTTTCCGTGGATATTCCGCTTTGGCATCGATGTTGAGAGTTGGCCGGGATCGCAAATAGTTTTTCGACGTTTGGGATTGTCAAAATAAATCAATTTTTCATCCCCAGTGATGATACGATGTGAAAACCCCTTTCTTTGTTGCCTAGCGAGCAGAATTTCGCAGGTGGTTTTTCGCCTTTCAAGGTCTCTTGGCTTCAGTTCATATGGGACTCATTTTCCTTTCTTGTAAACCTTTCCTAAAGCTTTCAAACGATCGGAAATGACTTAGATGATTAAGAACAATTTAATGCTTCTGCAAGTTGCTTTTGCGTTTGACATGGGTCTTCGTCCACCAATGCCTGCAATTCTTCGTCTTCGAGTACTCTTGGCCGTCCAGAATGCTCTTTGTCCTCTACGTCAAAATCACCAATTTTAAAGCGTCGAAACCATTCTCTGCATGTTTTATCGGAAGGAGCATTATCACCATAAACTTCTACAAGCATTCGTTAAGCTTCAGCTGCAGTTTTCTTCCAATTGATTAACACTTCGCGCAAATGACGCTTATTTGGCTCAAATTTCGATATTTTCGATGCAGTAAAAAACAATGTTATTGATGCAAACGTATACTTTTACCAGGTGTGTCGGTAATTCCTTTCCGGTTTTTTCGCTAAAGAAAACAGGTTATTTACAATGGATAGTTAAAATATATTTATTCAAAGTATTGGCCATTTGATTCTATACATTTTGCCCATCTCTCAGGCAATTTATGGATGCCATTCCAAAAGAACTGTTTCTCCTTTGAGCTAAACCATTCATCGAGCCATTTTTTAACTTCTTCGAAATCGGCGAAGTACTGCTCTGCAAGCGCGTGCCCCATCGATGCGAAGAGGTGGTAGTCGGATGGAGCCAGGTCTGGAGAGTACGGCGGGTGCGATAAAATTTCCCATCCAAGTGATTTCAACACTTCTTTGACTGGTTTTGCTGTATGAGACGGCGCGTTGTCATGCTGCAAAATCACCTTATCATGTCTTTGAGCGTATTGTGGACGTTTTTCGATCAATGCACAGTTCAAATTGATCATTTGTTGTTGGTAGCGATCAGTATTAACTGTTTCTCCAGGTTTCAACAGTTCATAATATACGACACCAACCTGGTCCCACCAGACACAGAGCATGGTCTTGCGACCAAAGCGATTTAGCCTTGCAGTCGATGGGCCGCCTTCGCCAGGTGATAACCATGATTTTTTTCGCTTGGGATTTTCGAAATAAATCCATTTTTCATCACCCGTTACTATTCGATGCAGAAATGACTTCCTTTCATACTTTTGAAGCAGCATTTCACTGACGATTTTTCGATTTTCCAATTGCCTGTCATTCAATTCATGTGGCACCCATCTTCCCATCTTTTGGATCTTTCCCATCGTTTGTAATCGTTCACAAATTGCTACTCGGCTCACATTCAACTTTTCTGCCAATTGTTTTTGAGTTTGTGTTGGGTCTTCATCCAATAACTCCTGCAATTCCGCATCTTCAAACGTTTTCGGCCTACCAGGACGTTTTTTGTCTTGAACGTTGAAATCACCACATTTGAATTGTCGAAACCACGTTTCACATGTTCTTATGGTTGGAGCATGCTAACCATAAGTCTCTACCAGCAAACGATGACTTTCAGCGGCTTTTTTCTTTTGATTAAACAAGAAAAGTAACGCGTGCCGCAAATGCACGTTTTCAGGCACAAAACTCGACATTTTCAAAAAATTATTAATCTATAACGCTGTTATTTTGGCGGAACGTAACTTGTGTAGTTTTGAGGTTAATGTTAGTAGAATAAAATGACATATGTATCAAATCATAACATTGCATACTTATGGCTAGTGACATCTGTTACAAAAACCGGAAAGTAATTACCGACATACCTGGTATGTACTGAATGTTATTTACAGATGTCAAAACAAACTATTAAGCTTAGTTTAAACATTACAGATTAACGACAGTTCTAGCTATAGCTACTTGTCGCTAAACGGACGGAACTTTCCGATTTACCTAATAACTTAATACTGTTAGTTAAATCTTAGTAGCCGATTCAAACTTAACTTAATAGCTAGCACTCTTGCTGTTATTATCAAGAATTGGCAGATAAAATGCATTTATTGCAAGTAAAACAAAAATTATTGATTACAATTAAAGTATATATTGCATATTAGTATTATATGTTCTATATTAGCACAAAATATATTAATATAAATTTAGCTGAAATCTGTATTAATCATTTGACTGCAAAAGACGTTGTCATGCCCTACGTAAACATGACAAGTTACCTATAATTAATATGCATTAATTATATTGGCCGTATATTAGTAGTTCCGTGCAAGCACATCCACTTGCGCCGCACGTGCTGCAAGCTAGTCATCACACCACACAGTGGAAATGTCCATAAAAGGCAATAGACAAACGATACATTGTCTGCATGAACGAAGGTCGCATCAAGTGTCATGAGGTTTCCACAAGTTTGCAGATTCCTCGTCAGCGACGCGTCTATAAACCGACTGCCGTCGCCGAAGGAACAGCAGAGTTTAACCACCGGCTGACCGAGCCAGACGCATATCTATCTCTAAGTCTACATCTGTAGCGCGTTAGCCAGAGGGTCAAGTCAATAAGACTCCTTTCTTAAATACAACCAAGCTTTTTATTTAAAACCTCTCCCGCCACCACTGCTTCGTTTACCGATCCCACGACAACGTATACATATACATATATACAGAGTGTCTTATAAATTAGAACGAGAAATTTGTGAAGACAGAACGAATTAAGACAAACATAAAAAAAAATACAAAAATAAAAGACCCATATCGTTTTGCGATATTCGAAATAATTATCGAATTATTGATGACAGAAACTGAATAATGAGTGTGCGCCGGGATGGATAATTGCAGAATAGTCACTCTTTGACAAAAGCCCAGTTAATATAGCAACTATAGCTGGCATGTGGCAAAGGGAAGGACAATGTGCCACTATTCGTCTTTTATATCGCTGCTCCTACGTTTCGCCGCACGCCGACAATAATTGTATGATCAAACGAACTCCTGAGTGAAGTTCGATCATAATTATGCGTATGCTTTCGTCCGAGTAGAATACATGTAGTCATGTCGCATGACTCTCGAAATGAACAAGCATCTTCAAAGATGAGCGCCAAAACAAAACAACTTGGCGCCCCGTTCGGTGTCGCGCGCGGCGCTGTCCACTGCGCGTGCACACGTCTTCATAGTTCAAAGCCGTCACAAATCGAAGGTGGGAGGGAACGACGAACGAAGTTCCAAAGAAAGAGAGGGACTCTACTCGGACGAAAGCATACGCATAATTATGATCGAACTTTACTCAGGAGTTCGTTTGATCATACAATTATGCTATGCGTTTCGTCCGAGTAGAATACATGTAGCTGTTCAAAGCCACGATTTGTAACCCTGAGATGTTTTATTTTTTGAAAGGACCTTACAGAGAACAAAAAGAAAACGGCCTCAGTGCCTTTGTTAGGCAGCCAAACGAGGTGAAATATACATAGGTACAATTACTATTATTATCACAACTTCTAGTATAATTTATAAAAAAAAGGATTAAGCTCGTAGTTAACGATTCAAGATAATTGCTTCAGCCACATTAGATGTACGTAATAATGGTCGGTTATAAAAATTCGGAAAAGTTGACGAAGTGGACGACCAGCCTGCCGCTTTTCGAATATCGTCAACTGAAATACCTTTCCAAAGCGCGGCCGAAGAGCCGGCGTGACGAGTAGAATGAGTTATAAAGATTGAGATATCAACTCTTCCTTCAGACAGTGTTAGTCGCACCCAACGACTAATCGTCTGAGCAGATGCTTTATGGACGGGCTTCTTAAAACTAAGAAATAAGGCTGAGGAGGATTCCGACGAAGAATTATGCGCTGTCTTACTAATATATAAACGCAATAATGAAAAATTGACAAGGCAGGCTGATCATCAACGTGATGAAAAACTATGACCGGTTGAGGTCGGTTCGGATCAGAGGTCTTTATACGATCAGGTATTTTAATAATAACGGTAGTTTCGAGGAACTGAATATTATCTCTCTTAATTAATGCCAGAGTCTGTACTCGCTGCACAGAGGCTAAAATTAGCAAAGTGGCAAGTTTGCGCGTAAGAAGTCCTAAAGACAAACCTTCATGGGGCCAGAGAGAGGCCACATATGCGATGACAAGCGATAGATCCCATGTCAGTGCATACTTGGGTTTAGAGGGTTTTAACACCGAAACTCCTCTGAAAAACCGTCGTACTTTGTCGTCTGAAACAATATTAACATCCGTGATGAGCGAGAGCGCTGAGCGATATGAATTAAGGG